GGGTTGCTATAGCAATGAGACAGAAGGGGGAAGGGCGAGGGGACACGGTTTCATCTGCATCCCTCTGACCCGGAACACAACCCCCCTTACAACCCCCTTACCTCCTCGGGGCGGCTGGGAGCTGTGGGCGCCGGCGCGAGCATGTCATGCAGAACACGCCGACATACCCTGCACCGCCCCACGCTGCCTTTTCAGCGCAGAGGAGCGAACCGATGACGTACGTCCGCACACTCAGGACCTTTGAAGTGGCTTGCGACCCATCCGACTGCACTACTAGCGGCACTAGCAACGCAACTGTGCGTAAATGTCGCCCACATGCAGGTGTGCGAAGTTCCATTCGATCGCTTGAGAACTTCAAGTGCAGAACTTCAAGGGAAACTATACTTCGCTGAAGCGTGTTAACAAAAATTCCAAGACCTACAAGTGTCAAAACATATTTACACACTAGGGTTTTTATTTCATTAAATGTGAGACAGATGATGGACGGATGAGGTGACAGAGCGCGGGTCCGGCAGCCGATCCGAGCGGATTGTTTGCAATAGCGCACCCATCAGCCGTGCCGTGCCGTCCCGGGACCAGCAGGCCGAGGAGGTCCTGAAGGAGGTCGACTAGGAGGACAGCCCGCCCGGCCCGCCCTGCCAGCCCGCTCCCCTGTCCTTGGATTAGGCCGTCAGCGGTAATCACCCGCCAGCCTGCCCCCTGCGGTGCTGGCAGCGCCCCCTCCCGCTGGGGACCTCAGAAGCCGCCGCAACCTGCTCGAAATATACCAAGAAAAACTATAAACACAAGCTCCTTGATACACGTTTTCACGTTTCACCAGCGGATCCTGGAAAAGCAGCGGCACATTCTCAGGGCTTTAAAACGCTACGTATACAACACACCGTGTATTCCTTTCTGTCCTCCACTCCAGGGTCTGAGTCCCCCCTCCTCCGCCCCCTTTCCTCTCTTTCGGTCCAGCAGCAGAAGCCCCTCATTACACTAAGAGGCGCGCTTCCCCGCCCCGCCCTGCCCCGCCCCACC